TTCATGAAGTTTAACAGTAAACATAAAAAGCTGAGGGATAATTTGACAGATCACGACTTTATTGATTTGCCTCTAGATATGAGAGTTGCAAAGATGTCTGACAGCCTGAGACGGAAATACTCAATTCCAAACCTGAACAGACGAGCCCGGAGCGAGTCTCCATATGCAAAGTGTTCCACCATACATCCAGAGGAATTTATTTCCTTTCAGAGGAAAAGATCCACGTCCTGTGGCTTCAACTCCGATAGCTCTGATATCTCTCCGACCGCCGGAGGCCGGAAGTACTATAATAAAGATTCTGTTGAGTTTGCGGAGAAGGTTGGAAACATTCCCAAACCAAGGATGGTTAATCAAGAGGTTAACACGGACCCTGAGCATGAATCTAAACCTAAACTTGAGATGAAAGAGAGAAGCAGTAACACGGATCCTGCTCCTAAATCACCTCCCACACCTAGAAAAGTCCATCATGGTACAAACACACTTAAGATAAGATCAATACCAAAAGCAACGTCAACGGAGATGAAAATGGGTGAGATGATATCAAAAGATGAGATGGAGTTAAAGATTAAAGAAGTGATGTTCAAAACTGAGGAAGAGATTATGAGTTGTCCGTTGCTTCAAAAAGCTCTACAAAAAGTGGAAGAAGAAGCAGTAAATGGTCCCCCGCCCAGCAAGGATATATCAGAAAAGGCTTGTCAAGTCGGGATGGAAAACCTAAGACCGTTCGTAATTGATGTTGGATTACAGTGCAAGCTGGGCAATGATTATAGGGCAGTAGACAAGGTTGATTCTTGGTGTCAAATTACTCCCAAACCAGTTGAAAGTTATGATGTTGCTTGTGGATTTTCAGAGGTTGAGAGGATGGGTCTTTTGAGAACAATTGGCGTTGGAGATTTCCAGATAATAGAGGATCCAAAAGAGCCTTCTAAGTATAGAACAGTGGGCGTATGCACTGAGAAATGGGTTGAGATCATCCGAGCTTCTAAACAGACAGACACTGAAGATTTTGCATTTAAAGACACTGAGTCACCTAGAGTGGCAGATATGGTGTTTGAACCTGTAGAATTGCCGGAACGGGTGAACCAGCGTTTGTCAAGCCTGACTGCTCCATGTCTAAGAAAATCTTCATCCCCCAGCGTGTCCCGAAGGTCATCAACTAACTCTGATAGAGGAGGATCAAGGAAACCTTCGGCTCTCACAACCCCGCCCAAGATTGAGCTGAAAACAAAGGGTACAATGACAGATGCTCAACCAAAATCAAAAACGAAAGATGTCAAGGTTGGAGATTCCTTGCTCACAAAATCTGTGTCAACATCAGCAATGATATTGCCTCTGGTGAAAAACGCCCTCCATCTACCACCTGGAAGTCCTATTTCCACACCAGACCTAGAAAATCCAGCTGTGTCCTTAAATCTTTGTGATAAATGTGAGAAGGACATTCATAATGTTGCTGAAGGGATAATATCAGGACCAGCTCCAACAACTCCAAGCATAGCCCCTCCATCTTCTGATATGCCCTGGCTCTCCAAGATTCCCCGACCTATTGAGGATTCAGAAGCTAAGAAAGTGAAAGCCGCCAGCTCTACATCAAACCTTTCTGTAATGAACAGATCGTTGAGCCCTGGCATGCAAAGGTCTAAATCAAACCTGGAACCAGTCTACATGCAACGATCTAAATCCAATCTTGAGCCCAGTAACAGAAAATTAGTCTCCATATCAGGAACTAGCACACCGCCACCTGTTCGTAGAAATATGGGAACCCCTCCACCTCATCCTAATCTTCAATCAGGGGGGAGCAAACGAGCTCCATCCCCTTTAACAAGGTCATCAACTCCAAACCTGAATTCAAGCTCGGAGAAGAAGAGTCTAATCCCCAAATTTTCTCCCTCTTTGAGTAAAAAGATGATAGAATCTTCAGAAAAATCTTCTATTCCTTCATCTCCCACTACAGAAGTACGGTCATTTATTCCTCGTGTTGTAACCCCTCCTGCACTAAGGAAGATGTTTCCTACCTGCAAATCTGATAAACTTTCTAACCCTGACAGAGATGTGATAAGGAAGAAAACTATTGACAAATCTAACACAGGGGTTGGAAATATGGAGTTAGATAAGGGTGCTGAGAAATCCTCAAGACCCTTCAACCGTCAGATGACAAGATCAATTGATGAGGTGCTATTTGAAGATTCAGGAGAAGAAACAGAAACTATTGATGATACTCCAGAAAAGAAACTATCCGACTCCTTTCCCCTCCCTGGTTCAGCTCTTTTTGCACCAATAGATGAAAACAGGAAAAAGGCAGAACCCTCCAAGGAAATGATGTCAGCCTTGAAAGTTCTACACGATTCTATATCACGAGGGGCATCCAGGTCAAACGCCCAGGTCACCAACGCTGTCAATATCATTCAACAAGAGTGGTTTAAATCTTCCTCTACTAAAACATCTAATCCTCTAGATGTAGATGATTATCTTGATACTATTGAAGATATGTCCAAGGAACTGCTGGACAGAGTTGTGAATCTTGTAGATGTAAATGGAAACACTGCCCTCCACTATTCTGTTTCACATGGAAACTTTGATGTAGTTTCTGTTCTTCTTGATTCTAAGGTTGCAAACCCTAACATATTAAACAAGGCTGGATACACTTGCTGTATGCTTATATCCCTTGCAACAATCAGCAGTGAAACTCACCGAGCTGTTGTTCGTCGGCTCTTCTTGTTAGCTGATGTCAACATGCGAGCTAGCCAACATGGGCAAACAGCAATGATGCTAGCGGTAAGTCATGGACGTTTGGACATGGTTACTCTTCTACAAGAAGCCGGAGCAGATATTAACATAAGAGATGAAGATGGTAGTACAGCACTTATGTGCGCTGCAGAGCATGGTCATGTTGACATAGTCAAACTCTTCCTTCAGCATCCAGATATAAACCTCAGCGCGACAGATAATGATGGGCTAACCGCTTTGTCCGTTGCTATGGAAGCAGGCCACCGGGACATAGGTGTCTTGTTGTACGCCAATATGTCCTTTTCCAGGGGAACCAGCCCACATTCATCATTGAGGATGAAAAGAACACCCTCCAGGAACTCTACAGCAACCCCTGGATCTTTATCCGGGATAACTTCATCATCTCCCATCCCTCCCACTCCACCAATCCGCTCACGTAGAAATTCATCCAATTGATCATTCTTGCACTCAACACTATACAGTGCGTTTTAGTGAAAATCTAAAATTAATATTTTAGAGAATTGTTATTAATGAGATTTTGTTTTAGTCCTGAATGTGCACGTTTACTAATATACAAAAATATGCACTATGATAATATTAATCAATGGGAAATTCATCAATTCTAAAAATATTTTATAAGAAATAAAAAAGTGATGAAAAAGTTAAGAAATGCTGATACACTGTAACTAACAAAATGCACACCTGCGTTTAAAAAGCTTTGTTTAAATCGTAAAAAATAAAATCTTTATGAATGTATTCAATAAATGATTAACAAACTTTTATTTTTTAAAATATAAATCTTTATTCGAAATGTAATTTTAGTGGATTTTATAGTTAAGTTTTTAAAGGAACTTTTTTGTTAATTTTTTTTGGCTATCCTTATAAAATGAGGGCATGCCTAATTAACAACGGTACCCTTAAAACCTTCATCTGATCAATAATTCTAATGAAAACATCGATTTACCCCAAAATGATAGAAATTTTGAAACATTGTATTTGCCAATGTAGTAGCATAAAATTTCTTCCATATCAATTCTTTTGAAAAATCATCAAATATTATTAAATTTTCACTTATTAATGCATTTTAGCGCAGTTGAAGTTTCATGTATATATTGACACTGAAACTGGGATTCAAAAAGTCGACTTTAAGTCAAGTTTATGAACCCAGATTTTAACCAGTTGCTGACTTGGTAAAAACTGGGATTCAAAAAGTCGAGTTTAAGTCTAATTTATGCACCCAGATTTCACCCAGTTGGTGACTGGAGTTCAAGTGTGAAGTTTAAGTCCAGTTTAAGTGGAGTTTTGAAATCAAAGTTTTTACCCTGACTTGGTAAAAACTGGGATTCAAAAAGTTGAGTTAAAGTCGAGTTTAGCATCCATAGTAATTGAATGAGATATCTTAAATCAAGATCCCTTAATCTGATTATTCAATGTACACACTTTTGATTTTCTTCTTTTAATCCTCTTTTTGGATATTCTATTATATAAAGTTACGTTTGATAACAATTACAGATACAATGCTATATCGATTGGAATGTTATCCAATTGAATTAAATTTAAAAACAGTATCACTATAATTTACAAAGTGGTTCAAAATTGTTTTATTAAAAATGTCGCTTTATTTCACATACATGAGATAGGGTTGCTCAAAAAAGATGAGACTTCTGAGACCACTGTATGATCTCTTACATTCTTATTTTTTTCTGAATTTACAAACTTACTTTATCTTTGTCTCATTATTAGGTAAATATGCTTTAGGCAGAAGAAAATAAATTAACCTTGAAACAGTCTAAACGTAATTTCAAGCGATACTGCATTTACAGAGTGTAAACATGTCCTATACATTAGGTTGTTAATCGTTTTTGAAAACGATCGTTTTTTGTTTCGTCTTCAAAAACGATCGTTTGTTTTTGGAAGAAAACGATCTTTTTAAAAACGACCCACTCGTTTTGAACTTTTTGAAAACGATTAGAGATCGTTTTTGAAAACGATCGTTTTTATTAAAACGATTTGCGACCGTTTTTATACGATTGTTTTTTTTAAAAAAAACGATCCTTTTTGAAAAAACGATCGTTTTTGAAAAAAAATTTTATTGACAATTATGTTAACGATCGTTAACGAAGGGTCGTCGTTAACGATCATCAACGAAGGGTTGGCGTTAACTGCGATAATTAACGAAACGACGAACGTTATCAAAACGGTCGTTTTTGGAAAACAATTACATGCAACTTTATTGAATGTCGTCTTTCATGAAGTTTAACAGTTGTGGGGGAGTTAAAACTCCTTGATATTTTCTTAAAACTACTCACTGGTCGGTTTCCTCTCTTCATTAACAATCGTTATCGAACCGATCGTTTTGAAAAAAAATATTTTTAAAAACGAACTTTTAAAAAAAACGATTGTTTTTAAAAATGATCATTTCGTTTTCGATTTTTCGTCGTCGTTATCATAACGAAACAATCGTTTTTCTGAAAAATGAAAACGTTAACATCCCTATCTATGCACAACGGTACCTTTAAAAGTTTTGTATGACCGATCAAGAAAACATGAGAATAAAAATTGGTTATTTCAATTGCAGTTTTACTAAATATGTGACTTAAAGGTCTCTGCTTCAGAAAAAATAAAGGAAATTTGAGGAAATTTAGGTAAATTTATAATGGAAGATAACTTTATACAAATTAAATTGTATGATGTTATTCCCCGATTTTTGCTGTTCATTTGAGTGAAGAAAATAAAAGGTCGTCTTCCTCAAACCAGCTGTTTTTTAACAAATCTTCTTTAGACTAATCTTCCTTGAACCAGTTCTTTTTTAACAAATCTTCTTAAACAGAGTCTTCTTGAAACTAGTCTTCTTTAAACTATTTCTCCATAAACAAATTCTCTTTAAACAAATACGTTTTAAACTAATCTTTTTTAAACTAATCATCTTACAAATCTTCTTTAAAATGACTTATTTAAATTCATCTTCTTCAGACTATTTATCTTGAAACTAAACCTCTTGAAACTGTTCTTCTTTAAACTAACCTTCCTTAAATTAATCTTCTTTAAATTAAACTTCATTAAACTATTTAAACCAATCTTCTTTAATCTTATTTTTATGAAATTAATCTTCTTTAAACTTACTTTCTTTAAACTAATCTTCTTTTAACTAATCATTTTTATACTAATCTTCTTTAAACAAATCTTCTTTAAACTAATCTTCTTTAAACTAATCTTCTTTAAACTAATCTTCTTTAAACTAATCCTCTTCAAACTAATCCTCTTAAACTAATCATTTTTATACTAATCTTCTTTAAACAAATCTTCTTTAAACTAATCTTCCTTAAACTGATCTTCTTTAAATTAAAGTTCATTAAACTATTTAAACCAATCTTCTTTAATATTATTTTTAAGAAATTAATCTTCTTTAAACTTACTTTCTTTAAACTAATCTTATTTTAACTAATCATTTTTTTACTAATCTTCTTTAAACTAATCTTCTTTAAACTAAGCTTCTTTAAACTAATCTTCTTTAAACTAATCTTCCTTAAACTATTTAAACGAACCTTCTTTAATCTAATTTTTTAAAAACTAATCATCTTTAACCTAATCTTCTTTCAAAATCATCTCTTAAAGAATCTCCTTTAAACTAATCTTTTTTAAACTTATCATCTAACAAATCTTCTTTAAAAAGACTTATTTAAATTCATCTTCTTCAGACTATTTATCTTGAAACTAATCCTCTTGAAACTGTTCTTCTTTAAACTAATCCTCTTTAAACTGATCTTCCTTAAACTAATCTTCTTTAAATTAAACTTCATTAAACTATTTAAACCAATCTTCTTTAATCTTATTTTTTTGAAATTATTCTTCTTTGAACTTACTTTCTTTAAACTAATCTTCTTTTAACTAATCATTTTTAAACTAATCTTCTTTAAACTAATCTTCTTTAAACTAATTTTCTTTAAACTAATCTTCTTTAAACAAATCCTCTTCAAACTAATCCTCTTTAAACAAATCCTCTTAAACTAATCTTTTTTAAACTAATCTTCTTAAAACTAATCTTCTTTAAACAAATCTTCTTTAAAGTAGACTTATTTAAATCAATCTTCTTTAAACTATTCTTCTTTAAACAAATCTTCTTTAAACAAATCTTCTTTAAACTAATCTTCCTTAAACTAATCTTCTTTAAACTAATCTTCTTTAAACTAATCTTCTTTAAACTATTTAAACCAATCTTCTTTAATCTTATTTTTATGAAATTATCTTCTTTAAACTAATCTTCTTTAAACTAATCTTCTTTAAACTAATCTACTTTAAATTAATCTTCTTTAAACTAATCTTCTTTAAACTAATCTTCCTTAAACTAATCTTCTTTAAACTAATCTACTTTAAACTAATCTTCTTTAAACTAATCTTCTTAAACAGACCAAGTACTTTGTTTTCTGATTAATTTATTATTTGAGTCTAACAGTCGTTCTCCTATTCCATAGTACTATTGTCTCAATGTACAAAATGTGATTCGGTAAAAAAAATAAGAAAAGCAAAATTTCTTGAATCCTTTATTGGTTTCTTTACGGGAATACACATTACAAAATTTACAATGGTAGGTAGTAGGTACACATTTAAACATAGATTTATGACATAAAAAAGTTTTCAAGGATTTTAAACAATCTTTATAAATGGAAATGTTGTTTCCTATATAGACAAAGTCATTTTGGTTTGGGAATTTTTAGAAATATATAAAAATAAACCTTGTCTTTACAATGTAAAACAAAATGCTGACATTGTAAAGTATTCTTAGTACATTCTGTGTACAAACAAACATGGAGAAAAAAATCTAAACATTTTTGGAGTCTAATTAATTTTTGAAATTGATTATTTTTAAAATTGTTTATTTTTTTAATTCAAAGAAATGTAACTAACAGTGTTTCATTTTTTACCAGGACTGAGCACTTTTAAACTTAATCTAATTCGCTCGGAACACTTGGATAAGTAAATCGAACAGACAGACTTCCCGTTTTTTCCCATTCGTTAAGCGATTTGGATTTAGACTTTTAACAGTATTAAGGGTGGATATATACCAAGTATTCGATATACTGTCTTCAAAGTCATAAATAAATTATTGGTTAGAAATCCCCCACAGCTCAACCCGCCTTATTCTGTTGAAAACATGTCGGGTTAACCACATTCTGGGTACACTAGACAGGCCGGTACGGTAAAGACTAGACCGTGCAATTTAAATCAACAACTGAACGACCATTGCCCTCATTCTGTTCTTTATTGTTAGATCCTTTTAATGAATGGTTTATTTCGTTCAGTGACGCCGATAGGAAGATTGACGTTTTTGTCTTTCGTTTTCATTCATATGCCGAACCTTGCCCATCCCTATTATTAAAAAGTTATATTATTGGAATGCTTTATCAACTTGTATTTTCTAATCAATATTTCAACAGGAGAAGGCTCTTTAAATTGAACTAAATAAATATTTACAGAAAAATTCAGATTACCCATTTATACAGATGTAGCAAAATATTGGTATATATTAAAAAAAACGTTTTTCAAACAATGTTCTACGTTCATGTTGACTTTTACAAAATTTAATTCCATTCCTAAAATTATCAAGAGTCATTGCAGTTATTTTAGAAAACGTTACACAAAACTTTCAACACTGATGGAAAAAGACCATTTTAAGTCATATTCAAAATAGATCTTAATTTTTAGGAATGTTTAGCTGACGTTTAATCCACACATGGAAGAGAGCAATGACGCATAATTGGCTGTGTACGGATCTGGATAAACCAATCGCATGCCAGTATTTCCTGGCAGTCCACCAGGGGCAGTCATGGTCAACGGAACTCCTTGAAGTGTGGTGGCTGCAGTTAGAGGATACACCTTAAACAAAATATTCAGTTAATATCAGGGTCTGTGTGTACAGGAAATTTTCTAGGGGGGCGGGCTGTGCACCTAAAGCCCCCCCCCCCCTATTGTATGCCACTCTGATTGATTCCCATTTCTAGCTCATGTAAGCATTTAAAGCATAAAAAAAACAAAAATGAAATGCAGAAAATGAATAGACTATAATTGGAAAATCTAATTAATATAATGTAAATAGGACTAACAGATAGGGCTGGGCACGTTCCTGGTGGAACGACGTTCTTTCCTAAGAACGAACGGAACAATCAAGAATGATCCCATCGTTCCGAAAAAAAACGAACGCTTAGAACGCGTTCTTAAAAATATTGGAACGATTAGTAAAAGAACTGAACAGAATGGAACAGGAATTGCTTGAAAGGAACGGTTAAAATTGTTAACACGTTCTTATTATCAAGACCTTGTTCTAAGTTGGGAACGCATTTTAAATCAGGAATGTGAAAGCTTATTCTTTTAACTCTAAATTTAAAATATATAATTTAAAGTAATATTTACGGCCATGAGGAACTTTTTATTAAAAAATCGTAATTATTTTACTTTTTAACCAACTCTTTTCTATAAAACTTTTGTCTTGGATGGAATTGTTAGTTACTAAGAACGGAATGGGAATGGAAACGTTCTTGATTAAGAACAGAACAAGAGGGATGCAACCATTCTTCAACTGAGAACGCCAAGAATGGGAAGACTGTTATTCTACTCAGAATGGAACGGAACGGAACGAGAACGGAACGATAAAAAAAGAGGAGCGAGAATGGAACGATTTAGCTGAAGGCCCTCGTTCTAGAACAGAACGGAACGATTTTAAAAAGTCAGACTGTGCCCTGCCCTAATAATAGATTAAATAGAAATCGTTTTGTATTCTGACATTAAACCAACCAGTAGCAAATTATTCGTTTGAAGTCTACCAAATAAATTTTTATTCTAATAACCTGAGGAATAGAGGCTGGATTAAAGCTGCTAATATTACAGAGGTACTCAGGACTAATCCTCAGACATGCCAACACAAACTGAGCAGCCTCTAGTCTGGCCTCTTCTGGAGTTGGTTTCAGGTTATATGTTTGGAATACGTTGTGAGGATGTTGAAACGGGTAGTTTGGTATAGTCACCTGAAAAATATTGCTGATCAAAAAACCTTTCTTTGAAACCTTTATAATGTCATGGCTGAGATAATATTTGATTTTTTTCGTGATCAGCTTGAATACAAATTCAAGCTGACCATGTTCTGAATTTAACTGGCTAATATGAAGAATTTTCATTTGGGAAGAAACCTCTTTCAACATTTTTGTTGTCGCACATGGTTTCATATCTAATTGACTTATATGGTACATGTGCCTTGTCAATGTCATGGCTTGAGCTTTGGGAATATAAGATTCATAAGAGTGCACAGTAAACTGGAAGACTGTTTCTTACCTTGTATATATACATTTTCATGGCCCCCTCCCCTGGAACAGTAACAGATAGAGAGTAAATGGGTTCCCCCCAACGATTACTATGACAAATATCCAGAAGTATGTCTGGAGCAGATCTGAAAAAGATTAGGTTATTATAAGTGAGCTTGATAATACCGTTTCCTAGAGAAGTTCGAATGACCAGATTTAAAAATAGCAAGAAGAATTCAACATTGTATGAACATAGTTGACTCACTTTTAAAAGCAGATTTAAGTGGATTTAAGAAAAGTTGCTGTTTTGATTCCAACAAAAGTGAAGGATCCAAAATCTTTCACAGAGATGGTACTGAAGGACTATGATAAGTATAACATTTTTCTATAATGATGTCCTGAAAAATATGGGAATTAGGTTTTAAATCACAAAGAGTGTATTAAATCATAAAGTAAACAAGTATTTCTGAATGAAATTTCCAAAATGTGGTATGCCTTCTATATGTATTTTCAGATAATTAAATAATAATGATATTTTACCTGAAATAAGTGAAATTATTCTGGAAAGGAGTTATTTGCTTCACTTGTATTTGATTCCCAGATGTTAGGGAACAGTATCTCTGAACAAGCTGCTTGGATGGAGCAGTGCCTGGTGCGCCAAGACCTCGAATACCCGCTGCTCCACGCTTTCGTGGCGATAGCGCTTGAACCAATCCATTCTCTCCATCAATTACTTCACTGCCAAGGGTGAATGCCTTAGTGAGAGTTTTCCTTGTGTTGTAAAGCTTTTTATCCACAGGTTTGCTCCAGAGTACCTCTACAAGTGTTCCATCAATTTGAAGGTTTTCACAACTTGACAGGGCTTGTTCTGCAGATTTACGAGTGGAGAAGTGAACGAAAGCAAAATCCTTTGTTTTTTTCACACGCTCCACATCATTGTTTCCTTTTCTATTGAACAGGTTTCGAATGGTGTCCTCTGTAGTTTCAAGAAGGAGGTTTCTAACAAAGAGTATTTTTACATTTGACATTGTTTCTTCGTCAACCTCATGCTCAGGCTCAGCCCAGTCAACCTGACCAAGCTCCTGTCCACAAATACTCACAGAACCTAAAAATAATTTTTTTTTTGAATGTTACTTTTCTGTTTTGTTGGCATTCATTTAAACTTTCAGCGGTTTGTTTATATTTTGGAAGATCAATTCGGATGTTCGGCTTATTTTTCAAAATAAAATAAAGTGAAATGAGCATGATTTTTTTATTTTAATTTAAATCAGAAATCTCCAACGGAATTTTTTTTATTTGTAAACGTCACATCACTTAAGATTGTGTACTTAACATTTATGATTAAATGTTGTATATATATATATCCTTTCTGGAAGTTACAAATTACAAAATTACAACATTTCTAACAAAAGGAAGAATGAACAATAACTTTTGTTTTATTGGTTTATTTTTCTGTATAAGAAAAAAATATTGATAGTAAATAAAAAAATTGATCAATAAGAGGCTAAAACTTTTGGTTGGGATAGCGCTTTTTGTTGATTCTAATTCAAATGACAAAGTTTAATACTGGTGATCTCGGCATATTCCATCCAGAGTATAGCAGAAATTATTAAATGAAACCTCCAGGTAAATAGTAATAGACATTTTTTATTCAAATTTATATTGGAAAAAAAATTTACATTCAGGAAAACTAACATATGATTTTTTTCGGTTTTTTCTTTTGCTGGTTTAATTGTTAAAAGTATCAGTTCGAAAGTTTTGCTTTGTTTTTTCTAAAAACGAAAGTTAAAACAAAATTAATGCCCAACCCTGGAACCGACTGAGCGCATTATGAACAACTCTGTATTTTTAGAAAAACAACATCTAGTTAAGATAAAAATGTTTAACTCTTACCTTGGGTGAGTTTTCTTCTTGCCATAGCTGCAGACTTGTGAGAATCATATTCTACAAACATATAGCCTCGAGACTTAGTCTTATCAGCCTGACTGGGATACAGGATAATATTGAGGACACCAGCAGTCAGCCTCTCCATTTCTTTCCTGAAATATGCCATTTTGAAAATATGTTGAAAATATTTTTTTAAATAATTTAAATAATTTTAAGTGACACTTTTCAGTTTCTGATTCCGACAATGCCATTTTAATATTTGTTTAAGTGAATGAAACATCTTTTATTCTATCTTCAGATTTTAATTTTCTTGTTGTTGACAAACTATGCGCCAGGTAGTTGATAAATTGAACTACTTTCAAATAGAAAAATGACGATATCTTCCAAATTGCTAGTCCGATGCATTATTCAATGGTTTGGTTGTAAATCAGTCATGATCAGCGCTTTTTATGCTGAAAGTTACGTTGAAAGTGTACCTCGCGTAATTTTAAATTCTAAACTTTTTAAGCTATTCATTTTCTTTCCTTTTTCTGTCAATAGTTTTAAATTTTCAAAAAACATCATTTTACCTAATCTCTTCAGTAGATTTACTTTTAGGTATTCCGTTTACCCAAAGTCTGCGGTTGTCAACAGACTTAGTTACAACTAGATACCTAGACAAGTTACAAAGTTACAACAAAATTTATTTCAATTTTTAAGTATTTAAATAGATTTAAAACAAGTATTGATTGGTAATTTAACCATTTTTTCGTTTTATAAAACTTTTTTTGTGCCATTAAATTTAAATTTTTGAGTCTACCAACTTGCAATTCTTAAAATTCTTTATGCCTTAAATATTTGAAACTTGAAAATGGGGGGGGGGNTATTATTATTATTATTATTATTATTATTATTATTATTATTATTATTATTATTATTATTATTATTATTATTATTATTATTATCATGATTATTGTTATTATTATATTAATTAACACTAACATAGTGAGAACCAGAAAACTCTGGAGTAGGAAGATGACTTTAATACTCTATGTATGAGTTTGAACAGACCTATGAACATCATGACACCCTGTAATTGTGCAGTAGAAACAGGACCATTTCTCTAAATAACTTGAATTTCAAGCTATTCATAAAACTATTTGCTTTGAAAAACCATTAAATACATTACTTTAATGTCGCCTTCTTTTCCACAGTTTTCTGGTAATCACTGTTTTACTTTTTTCATTATTATTATTTGCATATTTATTATTTATCTACTAATGTTAAACTATTTCAAACTCAGACATTGAATATTTCCTACTATTTATCACAATTAATATTATTATTAAATCATTAATAGTGACACATAATTTTTTTAAAATTATTTTTAAGATAAAGGAATTTTCTTAAGATAAGAGAAATATTGTCTGATAAGGGTAACAATGTGAACAATGAATAATGTTAGCAAAAAATCCGTGCTTTTTACAGTCACATGTCCGATTCACAACGATACTTGTCATACAAATGTTTATAAATACAAATGTGCAAACTGCAAATTGAGTTATAAACGTCTAGAATCGGATATATGTGTCACTCATATAAATGTAAGGTCACATGTAATAATGGGCACAGTCCCTTTAATTTAAAGATATTTTACCTCTGCTGAGAAATATCTGATGTATGCGTAACCTCTGTTAAGTCCAAGACCTGTTGGTTCCATCATTAACCTGATAATCAGCATTTATATAATTAGGAACTAGTTGAACTTTAAGAGACATATTTAAATCACTTATTTTTTAATTGATCCGGCTACAACAGAGGTGGTCCAAATCGATATGCGCAGTTCAGCCGCTTTTCGCTGTTTATAAAATCTGATCCCAATGGAATTTTTTTTAAATATTTAATTATGGGAGGAGGAAAAAGTATATTAAAAGTATGGTCCTGCATTTCCTGCAATTCATTGCATAACATGTATAAAAATAATAATAATTATAACAATAATAATATATACTAACAATAATAATGACCATAATAATAATAATAATAATAATAATGATGATAATAATAATAACAACAATAATTATGCTCAAAAAATTTTCTTGTTCCTTATTTTTAGGGCTTGGTAACAAAACTTTAACACTTGGGTTTCAACTTCATAGATTTTTAAATAAATTGGTTTTTATAAGAACTATTTATTATAAAAAATGATTTACCTAAGATCTCTAAGTTTTCCAATCTTACTGAAAATATTCACCAGATCTTTTTCCTAAATATTTAGAAAATTAATCAAATTAAAAATGTTCATTTTGTCTTTAAAGTTGATTTCACTTTTATTTCCTTTATTGAACTTTCCGTTATTAAAAAAAATTAACCGAATACTTCAAGTAAAAGATTAAAAGAAAGATTAAGTTGGTACAGTGGTAGGCGATTATATCAATATAATGAAGACGACTTTCTATTTTAATTTTGACTTATTTCAAGCTTTTATTTCAGCATGAATACACAAAATCATGGAAACAAAGAGAAGCTGTCAATTTATTAGCTTTTGTTTAATTACTTGTAAATTTGTAATTCGAAGAAAGCTCGTTAAGAATTAAGACTAAAACTGGGGTATTTTAGGGGGTCATGTGGGGGATTGTTCTGTCACAATACTCATCTTAAAATGCATTTGTCTTGTGCTTCATGATGAGAATGGACAAAATGAATATATTCTGATAATCTTTTCATTTACGAACATTGTATCAATTGTAGATAGCATTGGTTTATAATTTTCGGTCGAGATTCTTAACTAAAACATAACACTTCTCTCAAAAAAAATATTTTAAGTGGCCAAGCCATATTCGACATGAAAAATACCTTCCCCTAATACCCCCCCCCCGGATTTTTAAAAAGCCTATGAGTGACAATTTAAAAAAGATTGGCCTCGAAGAAAAGAATTTGCACACAATAATTTTAACATTAAAATGGGATGATCAAGGTTTTAAAAAAAATTGTTTGTTTTTCTGTTTTTAATAAAATTTATATTTTACATTTTTCTTACTAGGTTTTGAAGAAAAAAAAATTTATTTCTGTAAATTAAATTTTGGCTAATTCTAATAATTAGCCCAAATAAAAAGATTAAAAGAAACTAAAAAATTGCCTCAAAACAAACAAAGGCATATTTCTTGCCTGAACATCTCTTGGTATACGGGTAACATACACTTCACACCCTTTGTCAGGACTAGAGCATTGCTCAACCTAGAATATAAACATTAATAAATTAATAATTTTCCCATAACTCATGGCCATAACTAAACTTTTCTAATATGAACGGAAATTACCCAATTTGCAACAGTACCCTTCAAACCTTTGTCTGATTAATAGTGTAAAAGATGTCGTCGTTTTTAATTTGAAAACTGTTTAATTCTGAAAATTTACTCCCTTACTTCGGAGCAGAAATGCGACGGTCACTTTGTAAAAAAAACGATAAAAAAATTTAAAAAGATTATGAAAGTCTCACGCATTCTTTACAAGGCAGTTTTAAATCGGAAATGCAACTTTATAAATGTAACATAGCCGCGGGAACGTTAGTGTTGGATGCTCTCATAATCCTAATCGCTTGGTTCCGATATCCACAGCACTTTTAATTTGATGATCAATATTTAATCTCTTCTTTTCAGTTTTCACTACTAGGGTACAAATACGCTGTGGATATCGAATAAAGATTACATTAATCTGCAGATTAACAAAAGATTTATCGTTCAACATACGATGAACCTAATATTTATCGGGAAGGAATATTTCAGGATTTCAGGGATAATTAGACCAAGTTCAGGGATAAATAGACCAATTTCAGGGATAATTAGACAAATTGCAGGGTTAATTAGACCAATTTCAGGGATAATTAGACCAATTGCAGGAATAATTAGACCGATTGCAGGGATAATTAGACCAATTGCAGGGATAATTAGACCGATTTCAGGGATAATTAGACCAATTTCAAGGATAATTAGACCAATTGCAGGGATAATTAGACCAATTGCAGGGATAATTAGACCAATTGCAGTTATAGTATAGTTACAATTGATACATATAATTTTTTTGGCGAAAATTTTCGTAAAATAGTGAAAAATTGAATTTGCATCCTTCATTCTGACAAACACATTTTTCAAACTTAATCTAGGTGACAGAAATTACACCAGAATGCTAAATCTTTTATATTTAGCTTAATTTGGTGTTGCTCAGCTCCCAAACTGGTCCTGCTTATTGTATTGGTAACTTTAAGTCGTATGCATTCAAGCATCTGTATCAATTGTAATTACAATAAAACTCTGCCCACGGAAATTTTTTTTTTACAGTGTATGCATAAGCATACATGAGACGTTTTTTTTTACAGTGCATACATATGTGCATACATTTACTTGTTAAGCGTATAAAACGGTACAATTTAGAAATTAGTATGCTTTAAAATAACGATTTTTTAATGTTAAATCCTCTTTTACACTTGATCTTCGTTAGTAAAAATTCAATTAAAAATATGGGAAGTTTTATTTGTATAAAAAGCATTTCTACAGTCGTTTACCTGTATTTTTTCCTTGCTGTAAATCTCCATATTATTAAGAATAAAAGTATAAAATCAAAATGAATCACAAAAACCCAAATCAAAGAAATCAGGGAAAAGCTATTTGATGATAAAATATTCGGTCACTAACACCCCCCCCTCCACTTTTAACACAAATATGATATTATTTACTTTTAGAAGTTTTCACTCCAATTATTTTGTATAATGCACGATAAACTAAATATCTATTTTTTATGTGCTAATGTTTTTTCTCGTTATAATATATATTCCTAAATATCTTCACTTTTTAGCCTTTATTAATTAGGTTAAAGTAGAAAAAAATCGTTCACTGGGCAAAAATTGATGGCTTCGTGACTTTTAAATTATGACATAACTATAAGTCAATTATAGAATGAAAATACACCTTTACATTAAATTAGGTCTAAAGAGTGGGCTCATGCACTGAATATGAAACCATCTGAATCGTCGTGAATATGGAACCATCTGAATCGCTGTAAATATGGAATGAAACCAACAATTAATTAAAAAACAAAAAGAATATAAAATACAGAAAAAATTTATCGGAAAAAAATTGGTTTCATCTAAAGCACCGTGTTTTCAATTTTCAATTAAAAATTTAGTTTTTAATTTGTTAGAACAAAATTGAATTTTATTTAAAATGAAAATTACATTATATTTACCATTTGGCTAAACATTGTAATTGTATTGCTAAGTTTTGATGGATTTACACCATACTATTATTAATATGAGAGAAATGAAAAATTTAATAAATGATCAAATATTAGTTTAAACTTTTCAGAAAATTAAACTTTTTATGAAATATCCAGAACTTAATTAAACAAGAGTATCCACACAGAATGAGATTTTTTTACATGATTTTTTTTAAATAGACTTCCAGGGTGCTTCGCGTCCAATTCACATAGAAACAATTTAAGCAGCTATTTTTCATCGAAAATCAAATTTTGCGGATTTTTCTGTTAAAGTTTGCAATTATAAATGTCGAGATTTTTTAGGTCTTAGGGTGCAATTCAATTTTTTTTGTTTTCCAACTTACACATGCCCATCACTTTAGGCTCAAAGCGCACAGATGCCTTTAAAGAGAATTTTCACATTTTTAGTTTTCTTTGAATACAAATTTAGTTTTTTGAAAATTTTGCATATATTTTTGCATATTTAAATTCGCCATGGTAAGGGCTTTTCACAAATGTATAATTTATCATATTTCGCACAATTTTCTTATTATTCTTAATAATAACTAAATATGTATTTTTTATACAGGCCCTGAATCTGATCGTAATTTTTAAGGACTTTTAAATTGGAAAGATTTTAATTTTAATTTAATTTTCTGACTTTTTCTAAATACCCGAAGCCCTCACTCTAGGGCTTTAAAACTGGGCTTTTATGCTAACTGCCTGTGTCTCAGGCACACTGCCTTAATTACTTCTTTTTCCTGTAACAAAATAAATCTTTATTTTGACCCACTTTCAGTTGTCAGATTTTGATAATTTTTAGATTTTTAGAAAGCCTTTGACATAAAAAAATGGATTGAACAAGTTTTGCAAAGAATTGTTTGCATGTTTTTTGCATAAAACCTGTCAAAAGAAATTTGCACATTTTTACTTTTTCTTAATTACACATCAGGTTATTTTTTTGCAAACATTTTTACTATATTACTGGATTTTCCAAGAAACATTTCCCCCTCCCCTCCCCTCAGTGTATCCTGGTTTTCAAGTATCCCTGCCAGGATAGGGTTAAACAATATGTAATAGGTAATAAAATTACCGACAATGAAAGTTTTTGCAGTGCAAATATAATTTGCATTAACAAATAATACAACCAGGAAGAGACTGTTCATGGTATAAAAGTGATATTTAGCTTTACAAAGTTTTATCTTTTAGAATTCTTTCGTATCCTATCCTTGACTGATTTCCCTTAAAGTTTAAATGGGAACTCAGTTAAACCTAGGAAATGTTTTTAGTTTGGTTTCAAAGTTTTATGGTTGTTGAGTTTACTTTTAGTGGGAAAACTTAGTTTCAAGGCATAGCTGGGTTCCCAAGATAGTTTAAAAATTAACTGGATCAAGAGGTTTTCAAAGAAAATGTATCAAAAATTTTAAAAGTTTTTCTCTTTTTCTCTCTTTTAGAGCTAGGCAACATTAAGTGTGTCTCGCTTTTTTGATCGTTAATCGTTAAACTTGAACAGTTGAGAACAGTGAACAGTTTCTCTATTAATAACAATAAAATAACTATAAAATAAATCATAAAGTTTTAAACTTTATTTGTTGACTTTCTGAACGGAAGGCCTATCCAAGGGTAGTTTTGAGCAGTTTAATTTATGCCACTGAAAACTCTGGTTCATTTTAAGTACAAGGTTTACTTTAAGCCTATAGGCAGCTAGATGATGTAGTACAGTACACAATACATGTACGCAGTCACGCTAAAGGGCAGAACAGTACAAAGTAAATCACAGTGTGCCCTTGAACTCCCAGTTGTATTTAGAATATTTTCAGAAACAATGAGGTTTAAGAGCTTTTTGCTGCTTTACCTAGGAGAGAACAAATTGTTTGATATATTTTCTTGTTATTTAAAAATTTAACTTAATTTGCTTTTTGCTTTTAAGGCTTTCACAAGTCAAAATTGTTTTGATTTAGATATTGTGGTTGGACTGCACCATGGAGTTAAATCAATCAAATCAAACCTAAGTACCACAATTTTTTTCCTTTAAAATTTAATCAAATTTTTCAGAATTCTTAGTTTTAAATAACAAATTCTTTTATTGTTTATATTTATATAGAGGAGTGCTAATTTTATGTTGGATTTTATATATCATATATTTTATATCTGTGTACCGTATTTCTGAAGCAAAACTGTACAAGAGGAGTACTGTACAAGCCCAAACACTGATTTTATGTATCATATATTTATAATTCATGTACTGTTTAGTTGGAGTAACTATGTACAAGAGAAGTACTATACAAGCCCAAACCCTGGGTTTATGTATATCTAGATGTGCTGCGGATATGCTATGTGACCGTCTTGATTATCAGGTTTTAAACTATGGGTCAATTTATTTCTGCAAATTAAGCCTAATTCAAAGATGAAAGAATGGATTTAATGTACTTTCCAAAGGCTTTTTCCTATGCGACAACTTCCCAAGAGTACTTTCCCAAGTGAAGTGACAACTTCCCAAATGTGCAATTTCCCAAACAGCAACTTCTCAAGTCAGTCCTCGGCCCATCCAATACAGCCTGCAGCGCATCAGAGGGCCTAACTTTGTGAAATTGCCTCTTTAGAAATTGTTCATTTGGGAAGTTGCCACTTGGGAAATTGTCAATTGGGAAGTCGCCCTGGGGCCGACATCATAGAATGCAGCAAAAAGAAAGGAACTTGAAGAGTTACCTCAGCAAATAGAACTGATTGAAAAACTAGTTTGAACCAACTATTTAAAAATTAAGGAACTTGAAGAGTTACCTCAGCAAATAGAACTGGATTGAAAAACTAGTTTTAACCAACTATTTAAAAATTAAGGAACTTGAAGAGTTACCTCAGCCAATAGAACTGGATTGAAAAACTAGTTTGAACCAACTATTTAAAAATTAAGGAACTTGAAGAGTTACCTCAGCAAATAGAACTGGATTGAAAAACTAGTTTGAACCAACTATTTAAAAATTAAGGAACTTGAAGAGTTACCTCAGCAAATAGAACTGGATTGAAAAACTAGTTTGAACCATGCTATTTAAAAATTAAGGATCTTGAAGAGTTACCTCAGCAAATAGAACTGGATTGAAAAACTAGTTTGAACCAACTATTTAAAAATTAAGGAACTTGAAGAGTTACCTCAGCAAATAGAACTGGATTGAAAAACTAGTTTGAACCAAATTTTAAAAAAATCCCAAATTTTATGGCCGACGTTATCCAAAATATATACTATAAGTCCTATATACCAATTCTGAACTGCCATGAAAATACGAAAATTTTGTTATCCAAGTTTTTTTACAGTATGAACTTTTCATTAACTTCAATGTTTTTACGATGCCATGAAAAAAAAAATTCTTTTTTTTCAGAACAATGAGTGCACTCTTGGTCAAAAATATCGTAAGTTTTAATATTTGCCGAAGCACGACAAAGAAACTATGATTTTATATTTTTCGTAATTTAAAATGTTTTTCTTAAATTCAATATTTCAAACAAAATGAGATTAAAAAACAATCGTCGAAATAATTTCTAAAATAACTTTATCTAAATTTCAGCTTCGCCAGATTTTTCCACTCCCCTAGTTGACGTTACTGAAATGTGGGAGATGGTCTACTCTAAGGGTAAATAAAGGGTGTCCCAGTAAACATGACAACTAAAGGGACTGTAAGCGTATATTTTCAAATGACCTTCCATTTAAAGAGAAACATTCTCAATTCACAACGGTACCCTTTGAACCTCTGACTGATCAAGGATGAGGGACTTTTCCTTATTATTCTATAGAAACGCTTGTAATTGTTAAACACTATGTTGGCTGTTTTATATTTAAGAAATATGAATATTCACATTCCAGGTTTTGGACATAAAAAATTCTAGATTTTCCAGGAATTCAGATTCTCAGATTTCAGCCTATACCCCCTTTCAATTTACCTTTACAGTCCCTCTAAGAAGGAATTTTTTTGATTTATCTAGACTTTTGTTTTCTGAATATTTGAAGTGCAGCATTAAAGTATTTTTATCAATTTCTAATTTTGACAGATGCATTAATCTTTTTTTAGAGCACGCTGCAGGGATAAAAGCTAAGATTGCTCTACAGGAAAATCAAAACTTAATACAAAGTTGAACATTTATAAAGATATAATCAAAAAAGTTTAAGTTTAATATAATATTTTATATACTTAAAAATAAAATAGATATATAAAAAATATTACAAAAATATTTTGAAATTAACCTTAAAGGTTGAAAAATTAAAAAAATATTAAAATGAATTCCAATAACACAAAAAAGGATGCATTTTTCAAATCAGCTTTTTCTGTTGCTTTAGTTGGGATTTGATGCAATATTACTGAAGACCGCCTAACTTTCTTGCATAAAATGAGCTCGTTTAACAACATACTAGGTACACTAGACGGGTTGGTACGAGTAAACGCTAAAATATTCAATTCTTAGGATCATGCAAAGATCAAGCTTATGTGGGTACACTAGACGGACTGGTACGAGTAAACGATAAAATTGTCAATTCTTAGGATCATGCAAAGATCAAGCTTATGTGGGAGTAACTTATTGTAAGAGCGCAAAAAATATTTCATAAACATTTTTTTAAAATTTAATATCGACAACCTGAATATTGGTGTAATATTCTAACAAATTCTCAAGTATTGTTTAATGAGCAGAAACAAGTGTGTTTAACCACAGATGGAAGAAGATGTATTTTCCCCTTTACTTTTAATCGCAAGGTGATTATTCAAATAAATTTGAAAATATAAGGTGTTTAAAACTAATGTATATAAAAACCAGGTTAAGATAAAAAAATATCGTACATGCACAATATTTTTGGAACTTTTCAGGCAAAAATTCGGTTCGCAGTGCTTGAAACAAGCTGAAATATTGTACACGAAAATTGTGATTTAAAAAATGTTTTGTCATGAACTTCTTTTAGACTTATACTTTCTGTTCACTTGATAATGCTGCTAACCTACAGGAAAACCGTCCTTGGTGTTCAACACAAACCGATCAACAGGCATTGTCAGAAATGGTTTTAATTTTTTTCTCTCCAAATTTCAAATGAGAAGTTGTTGTAATTTCATGTAACCCTACATTTATAAATAGTCATACTCGATTATAAAGCTTAGGTACCCTTCAGACCCTTATCTGATCAATGATATGTAGGATATTGTCGTTTTTCTACCTAGAAAAGTGTTAAATTCTCACAAGTTGCCTTCGAGAGAACCCACTAAAAAATCAAAATTGTTCTACAAAGGAGTTGAGTCTTTGCCACAAACTCTAATTTTCTAATTCATATATCTTTCCAGTGCAATGTCATTGACTTTAGATATTTCTAGCTATGAATTATGCTAGATCAAATATTCTAAGTTTAAAAATGTAGAAAGTTAAGATTTCCAGGTTCCAAAGATAAAGGGTTAGTAAATTTGAGCTTGTGGCAAAAACTGAATTCCATAAAGAGGAAATGGAAATATTAATTATTAATGATCAGACAAAGCTGAACGCTGTCCTTGAGATTCTTCAAAAACATGGTCGCTAAAAATGACGACAATAGTAGATTAAGGATTGGTTAAAATTTGCATTCTTTTTCTTAAATGTATTTATGCCAATGATAATTAGGGCAATCATATAGGCAACATAGGTGCATGGGGATACTGTGAAAGGTTAGATTTTATTTAAGAATGTGAGATCTCCGAATAATTTCCAACCAGGGGCATAGTCAGGTATTTGTCCAGGGGGGGCTTAACTTTTTTTATTCCATGAGGGGGCTCAGCAACCGTTGGGGCATAAAACCCCACTGAAATCCATAGATTTCACTGATCCAGGGGGCTGAGCCCCCATAGCCCCCCCCCTGCCTACGCCTCTGTTTCCAACAAACTATGCAATATATTTGGTCAAAGTTCAGACATGAAAATTTAGCCCGTTTTTATCAACACTTTCTTCTGTGAAACTCAATTGGAAAAAATCAGGTGGGATGATAGTTCTCTACCTGTGTGCTCAGCTAGCTGTACTGTACACTTACAACTGTTTACTAATATTGATATACTAAAGTTTAGGCCAGAATCAACTTATAAGAAACAAATGTGCAGTACGCTCTCGGTATAGTTGATAGCCAATACAATAAGTAAAGGATTGGCGTACATCATCACTCTATACACTATAACCTCGTTGGAAAAAATGTTCAAAGTTTTCTACTTCGTTTGACGTCTCATTTCCCGAAACTTTCGATGAAAAACTCATTTCAGAATTTTTTTTTAGTTTTTAATCGACAATTTTTCATTGTTTTCATCTCCTCAAATATCCAGAAAATTGTTATACAAGTTTTAGTTGAGATATGATTTGTACAAATTGTTTTAGAATGAGTTTTATTAAAGAAAGTGCTGATAATATATTTTATCATCTCTGGAATTTCACCTAACTTTAAAATACAGAACACTATCATCGATTTGTTTTAATTAGCTTTATCGACAGACGGAGAGTCCTGTATTGTGGAGCAAATCATTTTTAAAGGGAAAAAAGTAATTATTCCTCACTCACTGCCAACAGATATATGATAAAAGGGTTCAAACTTACGTAATATTACTTTTACGACTTTCTGACCTCGTAGCTCTATTTATTTTATTTTTAAATTGTTCAGCTGTAATGTAATCAAAATTGTTTTCTTATTAACAGCTGTTTATAAGAGGGAGTTATTATTGAAAACATATATTATTTCAATCTTACAAGGAAATTACTTTAGTTTGACGTAAAATTAATCAATTTTCTGCTTTTACTTGTTCCTATAACTTAACCTTGGAGAAAACATATAATATTTCAATCTTACATGGAATTTACTTTAGTTTGACGTGAAATTAAACAATTTTCTGCTTTTACTTGTTCCTATCACTTAACCTTGGAGAAAAAAAATAATTGATATTTATTTAGCCCCTGTCCTCTTGGATAATGGACTCTAATGGACGGAATTCAACAACAGACCTGACTCCTCTCCTCGTTCAAGGGAGGAGTTTTAATTTTAATAAAAATTATGTCAGAAGTTAATTCAAACCATAATTAAAACTTTCTTTTTAAAATATTTATCTACACCATAGATGTGAGATGTGACTAACTAACACAGAACTAACACCGTTTTTTTATGTGCTTAATATAAAATGTGTTTTCAATATTCATCAATTTTATTAAAATAAATCTCATTATCAAAACATTGAGTTTAAACATATTCGATTATCTTTTATTCAAACGTCAAAGGCTTGTAATATGTATACACCTAAATCTGGGAAGCGTCAAAGAAACGAAAAAAGCTCCATCAACAGACGAAGTTGACTTGGAACACGTCACTAATTGCTAGACAGACATTAATGTCATGAAAGCTGAAATTTAGATTGGTAATATTGGAAAAAAAAGTCATTTAAACCTGTCTAGAGTCTATACAGACAAGTTGTACTTCGGCATTGTTAGTTTAACATGGGAAGAATGAAAAACAACAATGCCCCCTCACAAAAAAAATAAGGAAAACAAAAAGTTCCGTTCATTTTCCAAAAAGTTTCTTACAGAAATTTTTCCAACCTTAGAATTCAGTGCTGAAACACTTGAGATATAAAATTGAGAATTCTAGAAAAAAAATGAACTGAGTGGGAAAGTATATTTCAAGTGGCACTTATCATCAATGATCTTTTAAGCCGAAAATTTAAATATTGTTCAATATCTTCGTCAAAGTTTTAAAGGATAAACGTCACTCTTAAATCGGAGTTAACTCGAAATTATGTTTACAGTTTCTTTAAAAACGAACCTGATGAAGTACCGGCAAACTCCAACCCTTGTAAGAATATAACCAATTTATTTTTTTATAATCCTTCCCTCTAAAACCCATTTTTTCTTAAAAAATATAAATATTGATAGTAAAAATACTAATAATAAAATGTTAAAAATACTAATAATAATAATAATAATAAGAAAGTAATAGCAACAATGATATTTTCAATAATCATTATAATAATAATGTTCTAAAAATTATTTTTGATTTTCCTAATAATTAAGTAAATCTATTGTGTATCGATAAGATTAAACAACTGATAGTTTTCTATACTTTTAATCAAATTAAATCAAATCTGGGGTTTATCATATCCTTATAATCATAGATTAATAACAATACAGAGAGAACATTAGAAGTTGTCTTTTTAAGATTTGGAGGTTGAATGACAAGACAGAGAGAGAGCATGCGCGTAACTCCTTTGGGCGTCTGCCTCAGGGTTTTTGTGAACGAAAAAAACCCTAAATCTTGAAATGACGACTTATAGTGTTATATCTGTATTGTTATTAATCTATGTTTAAAACTTCCTATGCATCTCTTTAGCAAACAATCTTTCCATGGCCTTTCATATTGGTAAAATGTTAAAATAGATATATTAAGAATATATTTGTAACGTAAATACATAGGGTTGTTAATCGTTTTTGAAAACGATCGTTAAACGATAGTTTTTTGTTTCGTGTTTCAATCAATTTCAAAAACGATCGTTTCGTTTTCGGAAAAAAATGAACGTTTTTAAAAACGACCCATTCGTTTTGAACTTTTAGAAAATGAATGACGATCGTTTTTGAAAACGATCGTTTTTATAAAAACGATTTGCGACCGTTTTTTATACGATTGTTTTTAAAAAAACGATCACTCTTGAAAAAACGATCGTTTTTGAAAAAAAATTATTGACAATTATTTTAACGATCGTTAACGAAACATCAAACTTTATAAAAACGGTCGTTTTTGGAAAAACTATCGTTTTAAAAAAAAATTATATGCAACGCTATTGAATTTCGTCTTACATGTAGTTACACAGTTGTTGGGGAGCTTAAACATATTGATATTTTCTTAAACACTACTCAATGATTAGTACACTTGCCCTTTAGGTCGTTTTCCTCTCTTCGTTAACGATCGTTAACGAAGGGTCGTCGTTAACGATCCTTTCAAAGGGTCGTCATTAACGATCGTTAACGAAAGGTCGTCGTTAACGATCGTTAACGAAGGGTCGTCGTTAACGATCGTTAAAGAAGGGTCGTCGTTAACGATCGTTAACGAAACGGCGAGTTTTATAAAAACGATCATTTTGAAAAACGATCGTTTTTAAAAAACTGTCGTTTTTCAAGACGCTATAAACACCAAAGAGAATAGAACATATATTAGAGGGGAATTTACTAGAAAAAAGTGTAAAACGGCCATTTTGTTGTACTGTTTCCATACTGCAGGTGTACTTCACATATTTATGCTATATAACCTTTTGGGCCCTGGAATATCATTTTATAGAAAATCTAAAATTAATGTTAAAAGAAAACCAAATTATGAAATAGGCTGGTTTCATAATTGACCAATGATCATTTCACATAGACTCTATGACTTTCACTTTACAAACGATGATTTTCCCTTATAGCTATAAATCAAATGATTTTTTTTATTCACCTATTCATTATAAAGTTTATTTAACAGCTTTAACAAATTCGAAATTTAAATGAATAGTCTAGAGAACATACTGTATTAATGTACTCTACTGCAAATAATTTATGAACATTTACATGATTTGTACACTTTAAACTCCCTTTCAGGCTGAAAGGGACTGAAAAAATTCATACCGAGAGATTCTATAAATTCCTCTCTAATACATATTCTATTCTCTATGTTTACACACATATATACACACTTTTTATAAGATTTTCCATTATGATAATAAAAATCAACAAGCAACTTCATATTTAACAAATCATAATAAAGATATCTTTAAAATTGATACAGAAGTTAGGAAAAGCATGTGATCTACCTATTTTGAGCTTTTAACGCAGAAACATTTAAACAAAGAGAAATTGGTCAATTAGCAGCCTCTCTTTGTGTACATGTAAACCTGGAATTTGAAAATGCTTGTCACGCATCATAACAAACTATTAGTAAAGTTGTCTTTATTGCATTAAAGGGAGTGTTCGCGAAAAATTAAAGGGGGTATAGGCTTAATGCGATAAAAAAGCGTTTTTGATCGCTACTAATCTTACTTCTATCTGTTGCGTCAATAAGGAGAAAATTGATAAAGACGTCTCATACCGAATAACATGGCGTCCATACAAATTGAGAAAATTGCAACATACGACTTAGACCGTAAATAATCAATTTAATTTCAAACAAATCATTCAGATATTACAACCTATAGTCATCGATTATCTTTCGCCACATTTATATATAGTTGATTTTTCATAATATGTTTAAATTGTTACAATCTGAGAGTTACTTATAAAAACATTTATTCCTGTTTCGAGGATTTTTGGTAATGAAGACGACATTTTCATATTTTCCAGGAATGTTCGAAAACAAGTTGTAAGCTAAATATTATTTTAAAAAACAAAATCAAAACTAGTATGAAATATCAAATATATACAAATGTGGCGAAAGATAATCGATGACTATAGGTTGTAATATCTGAATGATTTGTTTGATATTAATTTGATTTTTTTATGGTCTAAGTAGTATGTTGCAACTTCCTCAATTTGTATGGGCGCTACGCTCTTCGGCATGAGACGTCTTTATCAGTTTTCTCCTTACAGACGCAGCAGATAGAAGTAAGATTAGTAGCGATCAAAAGCGCTTTTTTATCGCATTAAGCCTATACCCCCTTTCATTTTTCGCGAACACTCCCTTTAATATAAATGCTGCCCATTGTAGATTCTCATGAATGTTATCTTTTTTATTCAAGAAATGTATTTTCAATATTTAGTCTGCCTGGTCCCTGAAAGCTGGGTTATTGTGATTTCCAAGAAAATTTATTTATGACCTATTCAGCTGAGTTATGATTTATCTCTTTTTCTCTTTGGATACAACCTCCTAATATATTTATGATCAATCTAATGAAGATTTTTAGAACTAGCTATTCATCTGCATTATAAAAAACAGAATAAACAAAATATCGTAAATGTTTTTTTTTATCAGGGCATAACAACCCTTTTTAATGAATATAAAAAAGATGTTTGAAAATTTGTTTAGATGCTGTGAAACATATGTACCTTCCCACAAACTGGGACAATTATAAAAACTAATCTATTCCCCAATGGTATACTACTAAAACATATGAAAGCAAATAACTAATATTCTAGGGATGAATCATGGCACCAATTAAAAAACAGAAATAACAAGTTGCAAAATATTGTGCATGGTCTTAAATGTTTTAAACTCTTTCCTGAAACATGTAAAAATATCAATTTTATTAAAAAAAAACACATATTTAGACATTTTCTGGTCTAATCATCGTCAATAACTTGCTGGCAACCAGGATAGTACTTATACAGACAATATAATAAAATTAGCATTACAAAATCAGAAACTATAGGGTTCTTATCCTCAACTCAAGTTGATCCATGTTTAGTTTAATGGAATTACAATAGATCCACCTCGATAAAAAGGTTTACTGAGATTAGTATTATCTTCTATCCAGTTGATTCCATCAAATTCTTCCATTGATATTTTTGCCACTGCATCTCCTCCACCAAATACCCTGAGTTTACCATTAAACACATGCAAATCATGACCCCATCGCACCCTTTTCATATTATTAGCTGCTCTCCATTGTTTAGCTTGTATATTGTACACTTCTACACTAGACATCCCAGTTCTATAAGTACTAGATAATCCACCGGTAACATAGACTTCATTATTGTAAACAGCACACCCAGAAATTGCCCTAGCTAACTCCATGCTTGGAAGGGTCTCAATGTGATTTCCATTTATGTCATACTTTTCCATTGCTGATATATAAGTTGTATAATTATAAGGTGTATGATAACCTCCAATCACCAAAACTTCAGTAGAGCTTATTGCTACATTACAATGGGCAACTCTTGCGTAAGTCAGTCCATTGGCCAGGGTAGTCCAAGTAACACCGTCAAAACGTTCAATTGTATTAAAAAATGTATTACTTCCGAGAGACCCACCAAAAATCATAATATAATTTCCAACAGTTGTCATACTTGCATATTGTCTTTGTCTGTTTACACATTTTGTCAGTAATTCCCAGTTACCCCCAACATTTGAGAAACATTTATGAGTGAAAGAGTTATATATGTAGATAATTCCATTCAGCAATGCCACACCTCCTTGTCTGAAAACTGAAAATCCGGTTGGCAGAGGGAACTCAAATGGGTAAGATTGAGCTCTGTTGTTTGATCCATCTCCAACAAGAAACACTGTCTCATTTTTATCTGGTTCATATCCAAGGCAAGCATCTGCTTTTAAAAACACAAGCATTGATTCTTCCTCTTGTATATCCTCCATAAACTTTATATTTGCCAATACACAGGTGTTGGATTCTTTGTCAAAATGAAAAGAATTGCAGAGTTTATTGCTATTATGGCATTTGAGAGAACAGACCATGCTGTTGTATTCTTTGCTCTCAGCAACTATAGATTTTTCCCAAGTTGAGGTTGAGACCTTCCAATTCTGTTCATACTTTATACCCTCAGTCCTTAACACAATCAAGCTTTATGAATAGGGTTAAAAAAACAAAATCTAATAAATTCCTAATGCAAATTAAAAACCCTATACAAACTTTTGGACCTTAAGGGTATAACTTTCCAGACTAAACTACAAATAAATCTAGATTTATTAGTATGTCAAACTATTTCTGTTGCTTTTATATGATAGATATTTCTTATTTGCTATATTGGCTTTTGGCTTACCCCAGCCACCCTCTCTACTTATCTTATTTTAAAGCTTTATCAGTGAAGCTAGAAAAGAGATTGTTTTCCAGTATTTGCTTAAAAATCAACTAATTAAGTGAGATGGATCTGTTATGAGCTGGTAAAAAGATTGTTTTCCAGTATTTCCTTGAAAATCAACTAATTAAGTGAGATGGATCTGTTATGTGCTAGTAAAGAGATTGTTTTCCAGTATTTGCTTGAAAATCAACTAATTAAGTGAGATGGATCTGTTATGTGCTGGTAAAGAGATTGTTTTCCAGTATTTGATTGAAAATCAACTAATTAAGTCATATGAATCTGTTAAGTGTCTCTACACTGCAGAAGATCATCATCTTTCATTGGAATATTTAAAATCATAAATTGAGTCATCTTTCTTTTCCACACTTTTTCGTGCCCACTGCACTATTAGCTATTTATTTTACCCCTCTACTCTCCAGTAATCAGACAATTTAGTTTAAAATTTCCAAAGAATTATTTTAAAATACCTTTCTGCTGGGGTTAAAGCTATTGTAAGAGACAAAAGTAGTGTTAGTTGTAAGACAGACATTGTAAAACTGCTACCAGTCAACTATAACTTGTAACTTATAACTTATTACTCATAACCTGCACTATTAAACTGACATCTTTATTAATAGTTCAAAGATAATGAACCATATTTCCAACATATAATCATTTTATTTCATTTTTAAAAACTATCTGGAAAACCTAAAAAAAAACTTTTTTTTTATGGTTGCTTAAAGGGAGTGTTCGCGAAAAATGAAAGGGGGTATAGGCTTAATGCGATAAAAAAGCGCTTTTGATCGCTACTAATCTTACTTCTATCTGTTGCGTCTATAAGGAGAAAATTGTTAAAGACGTCTCATACCGAATAACATGGCGTCCATACAAATTGATAAAATTGCAACATACAACTTAGACCGTAAAAAAATCAATTTAATTTTAAACAAATGATTCAGATATTACAACCTATGGTCATCGATTATCTTTCGCCACATTTATATATAGTTGATTTTTCATAATATGTTTTAATTGTTAAGATCTGAGAGTTACTTTATTTACATTTATTCCTGTTTCGAGGATTTTTGGTAATGAAGACGACATTTTCATATTTTCCAGGAATTTTCGAAAACAAGTTGTAAGCTAAATATTATTTTAAAAAACAAAATAAAAACTAGTATGAAATATCAAATATATACAAATGTGGCGAAAGATAATCGATGACTAAAGGTTGTAATATCTGAATGATTTGTTTGATATTAATTTGAATTTTTTACGGTCTAAGTCGTATGTTCCAATTTCCTCAATTTGTATGGGCGCTACGCTCTTCGGTATGAGACGTCTTTATCAATTTTCTCCTTATAGACGCAATAGATAGAAGTAAGATTAGTAGCGATCAAAAGCGCTTTTTTATCGCATTAAGCCTATACCCCCTTTCATTTTTCGCGAACACTCCCTTTAATGTTAAAAACATATTAAGAATATGTTTCGCGAGCTGATCAACCCTATCCTAGTGTATCAAATCTTGTCATATCTGGCATAGGGGATCTCTCCTCGATATGCAGTGCTTTGGATAATGAAGAAACGGGTTCAATCTGTAATAGATTAGTTAATTTTATTTATAAACTTAAGAAATATGATGATATAGAAAATTGATTAAATGGAAGAATATACAATTAAGTTCATTAATATGAGGATAAAAAAACATTTTAAAGCTCATAATACAAAAAGTTGCGATAATCTTCAATAACTCAAAACTCAGTTTAATTTAAATAATTTGATAAAGTGAACATGGGACACAGGGGCATGGGACACAGGGCATACCGAACTAATCAGAAAGAGAAGCATTTGGTTTCTTTTATTTGAAATAAAACGTGTTTTCGTCTATTATTCAACAATTTTTAAACTAACAGATTTGTTTATTTTATACTTTTTCATTCAAAATGTATATGCCAACTAAAAGTTATTTAAGAAAAAAGGCTTACAAATTAATTTTAATGGGTCAAATTGTGATCGAAAGTCATAGCTTTCTAAAATATTGACAGAACCGTTAAATCCACGTAAGGGGGGGGGGGCAGGGAGAAGAGGCGGGGTGACAAGTGAGGACGTGAGACAGAAGGGGAATCAGGGGCAGAGGGGGGGCCAAGGAGGGACAGGGGACAGAGGGAGACAAGAGATTGAGGTGAAATGGAAACATGGGACACAGGGGGGACAGAGAGGGGACAAGGAATACAGGGGACAACACAGGGGGGAGGGGGACACAAGAGAGCCAGGGGACAGAGGGCGATCAAGGGACACAGGGGAATGGGACAGGGACTGAGGTTGGGATGATTACTGCACAAGGAGGAAATGGAACAGAGGGGGGACACACATGCATGAGAACGAAGGAAGAATGGGGACATAGAAGGCAAAATCGTGTTCGAGGAAAATGTCTCAAAAAACTTTAAAACAAAACTTGAAATTTAAAACGTTTTTTATTTCTAGCGCTACATGTGGCATATTTAAAGATTTATTTTTAAACTAATGACCTATAAATAAAGCTTTAGCAATATTGTACAGAGGTCAATATTTTCTTAATCTTCAGAAATAAGCAATTTAAAGTTAACATTTTTTTCCTGATTACAAATTAAGGTAGTGGTGATTACAAAGTGAGGAGCACGCATGCTGCAAAACACGTTTGGGTGGTTGTGATTACAAATTGAGGACTTCTGCACTCAAATATATGTATTATAATATATGTATTATAATGGTGGAAGATTTTTCACAAATTTGAGAGGAATTATTTCAAGTAGTAAATACTGATGTATTTTTTAATTCTAAAAAACATTTACAAAAGGCATTTTTAGCTAAAATCAAAATTGACAGTAGCAAATGGTGTTTTTTTTTTCCTTCTTAAAATATGTTGTTTATCTAAAGATCCGTTCATATTTACATTTATTTTACAAAATAATGAATAATAGCCAAAATGAAAACTGAAGCTGAAAACTGGTGAATTTTGTGATTTCCCAGATTTTTTCCACTTTAATGCTCCTAGATCGCATATTTGAATATTTTTTACAAACTGTTTGCTGTGCAGAATTAGGCTTTGCAAGGCGGATTTTTTTATACCCATATCGACATTTTTGAAAAAAAAATATTAAATCACTTGTTTAACCGGTTTTTCGATCACAAAAAGCCATTTGCGATGGTCAGTTTTGATTTTATCGAAAAACGCTTTTTGTAAATTTTATCGACCACTGAAACTTTGTGATGTAAATATTGCTCAATGCTCTGATTGAACAGGTTATCTACACCGACAGGTTGGTCAACATGGGAAGAATGACGATGCCTTCAATTATTCCAGCCCAAGAAAACTAAATTATTGTAGATTGGAATAAAGGAGAATAATTTTTTTTATTTTGAACAAAAATTGCTTTTTTTTCTTTGAGTCTTCTTTGGTTATTTTCAACTCTAAAAATAAACATAAAAACTTCTTGCAGTCTCCTGCAAGAAAAATTAGCATGATTTAAGAATAATAGCAGGAAATAAAAAACAGTTATCCCTTTATTAGATTAATCTTTTTTAGATAATAAATGGATTATCTTTTTTTCTAAATCAGCCAACATTTGGTCAATGATGCAAAACAAGTAAAGTAAAAATGGAGATTTAAAGAAAAATATAGATATCAAAAAACCAGAAATTGCTATCATATGATTATTTATGCAATTTTATAATAACATTTTTTAAAACCAATTTTTGAAAATAAATGTAAAAATATGGATTTTTATGACATTTGCCTTCCCTGTACCATAAAAACTGTAATTTTGTAGGGTTAGGGTGGTAAATAGAGCTTTTTAGCAACAGAGCTGGTGAAG